AAAAAAAAAAAAAAAAAAAAAAAAAAAAAAAAAAAAAAAAAAAAAAAAAGAAATAAAAACAAAAGTTGGCCGTATCAATGATTCTTCCATTTTAGTAGTAATATGATCAATAACAATAATTTTTATCCAATATTATATATTTGTTGCGAGAAACCCCACATGATTGTTTATAAAAAAATCAAAATAATGGAATGTTTTGTACTGCTGATAATTGAAGGAATACTATATTGAAACCCATGTAGGTATATTTATAGGCAAAGTCTGTTGGTGATAATTGAATTGGATATAAAAGTAATACTGCGTACCGGCCATTGTTACGGTACAATTACATATATGCATGTTGTGTTTCACGGTACATAAAGTTTGCCCTACGCCTATGGTCGTACAACAGGTTGTTTTGTTACAACTCATTTCTTCCTTTTTCATTTTCAAAATTTTGCCCCATGCCTAGTCATGTCAAGTTTTATTTTTACATTTTTTTCCCCCTCACTTCTCATAATAATGGAATTACATGTATCCTATTCCGCTTTCTTTTTTCTTTATTTATTTTTTTCATTTTTAAACTCCTATAAATTAAAACAGAACGCGCTGAGCCTATGTAGCTGCTTCTGGTGCTTCAAAATCCTATGTGGAAAAATTGCATGCTTCGTTATTAGGCTTGGATAAATTTTAATTTAATTCCAAACCAAAAATAATTAGGTTCGGATTACCATAAAATATGTTGATTTTTTTAATGGTCATATTTATCCTTATAACAATAATAAAATTATTTTTAATATTAGTTATAAAAATAAAATTATTTTTACTCAACTACAATATTTATATTTCAAGGGTGTTGTACTAGTAAAACAATATGGTAGTGATGTTCTTGTTTGTTACAATTCTAAAAAAACAGTAATATGGTAATAAAACCATAATATGGCAATAAAACTCACACCAACGTCGGCGATGGTGAGCATTGTGTGTTGCGTGACAGCATAGCCCAAGCGCTATGGGCGAACCGAAAAAAAGAACATCGTATTTATTGATAAACCTGTTGTATGTGCACTTCTATTAATTGAAAGCATAAAAGACCAATATCGGTTTTTAGTT